CTAAGGTGAAAGAGGATTGCTAGGCAACCATTAGCACAGATTCCCAGCTCCATGGTGCTAGACCTTTTCCCCCAAGTAATTAAAGCAATAGATCTCATTTCTTATCTCTGTAATTAGCTTTACTGATTTTCCTAAGCCACTTGAATTCTAGAAACTGGCAGTCACTTACACATATCAAGCTATTAGTTAATTCCCAAGAAATCACACGATACAACCCCCGCTCACTCCAGAGAACATCCAAATTGCCCAGAATCTTCCAGCATTTCCCAGATAGTCTTGAAAATGTATAGGTGTGTGAATATTTTTAAAAATATTTATTCATGGGTTGAGGGCATTGCTGGCTAGACCAGCATTTATTCCCCATCCCTAATTGTCCAGAGGGCAGTTAAGAGTCAACCACATTGCTGTGGGTCTGGAGTCACATGTAGGCCAGACCAAGTAAGGATGGTAGTTTCCTTCCCTAAAGGGACATTAATGACTAAATGAGTTTTTCCCCAACAATGGATTCATGGTCACCAATAGACTCCTACTTTCAGATGTTTATTGAATTCAAATTCCACCATCTGCCATGGTGGGATTCAAACCCGGGTCCCTAGAACATTTCTTGGGGCCGGGGCTCTGGATTAACAGTCCAGTGATAATACCACTAGGCCATCACCTCCCATCAATGCGTATGTGTGCCCATGTGTGTGTGTATGTGTGTGTGTGTATGTGTGTGCATGCGTGTGTGTGTGCATGCGTGTGTGTGTGTGCGCGTGTGTGTGCGTGTGTCTGCGTGCGTGTGTGTGTGTGTATACCACATGCATACATATATAGTGTGTGTGTGCGCGTGGGCGTGTGTGTGGGCGTGTGTGCGTGCGTGTGTGCGTGTGTGTGTGGGCGTGTGTGTGTGCGTGTGTGTGTGGGCATGTGTGTGCGTGTGCATGTGTGTGCGTGTCTGTGTGTGTGCGCGTGCGTGTGTGCATGTGCGTGTGTGTGCATGTGCACGTGTGTGTGTGTGTGTGTGTGTGTGTGTGTGTGTATACCACATGCATACATATATAGTGTCTGTGTATTCCCAATAGTTTGGCTGTTTTCATATCAGGTGATCTTGGTGGCTGATTAAGAAGTGCCCAGTCTATTTTTATTAATTTTTCTCTCAACCCTATTCCTCGCTTTTAAATGAGTTGAATAGATTTTAAAGATTAAATAGTCTGTGTTTATATCATCATGACAAACCAATGACTTTCTTAAGTCAGAGGCAAGAACACTGACTACTCAGTCACAGCTGACGCCTAGGATGAAGGCAGCACAAAGGTATTAAACACATTGCACTGATTATTGGAAACCAGAGTTGAAGCAAAAACCTGAGTAAGCAAAATGAGTCTGGCGAAGGATTGATGGAAATAACTGGAGACACAGTCAGTGAAAATAACAAGTACCCAATTCTTTGAACGAACTGAATGCAGGGAGCTGAAGCCATAAACATTGCAATAAAATTGCACGTTTGAGAAACATGGGTGGAATGGATATTATCAAATAAATCATAAATTGATGTTAAATTATGCAAAAACAAAATAATACCAGTAATGACTATCTGAAATGAAAGAAAACATGGAGATGCTCACAGGTCAGGCAATACCTGTGGGAGAGAAGCCATTGCATTTTACAATGGATGTAGGGCTCCCGATCGAGTGTGTGATTTTAGGATGAATGTCGGCAAACTAACTTTTCAAGATGTGGCCTCCAAATTGGCCACCTCCTTGTTTGCTGTCCTAGTAAGAATATTGGATGTGTTCTCCAGATGGGAGTTCGAATCTGAGGAACAGTAAATGCTTGGAGCCCCATCAGGGGACTGTTGGGTTCTGAGGCAGAAATAGCAATGTGAGGGTGCTTTGACATGGAGATACTGTCTGATGACAGATAGAATCCCTTCAGCCCAACAAGTCCACACTGACCCTTGGAGCAGCCCACCCTCCTATAACCCACCTAAGCTACACATCCCTGAACACCACAGACAATTTAGCATGGCCAATCAACTTAACCTGCATATGTTTGGACTGTGGGAGGAAACCGGAGTAACTGGAGGAAACCCACACAGACCATCATCCAAGGGTGGAATTGAACCTGGGTCCCTGGCACTGTGAGGCAGCAGTGCTAACCACTGAGCTACTATGCTGTCCTCGCCACTATGATGCTCCCTACAAATTGAGAACAATGAGGTACACAGATAGTAGGGTTCTTGGTGTTAAGGGGATCACAACTCTAATATTGGTTTTGACCGTGAGTGAGCCTTTTACCTTGGCATCTCCTTTGTTGAGACATGGAGCTCTGTTGGATGCCTAGCTGCTGCCAAGAGGCTTCTCCCAGGAAATTAGAATTAGAATTAGAGTTTGTTGACGAGTGTACTCAAGTGTAGAAATTACTGGTTTTCCCACTGACGGGGGTGGGGGGTCATGTGGCTGTGCATATGGCAGGAAACTGCCATCGTTCTTCAAATAGCCCCCCAACCCCACCAAATGGGGTCTTAATTCACACCTTTATTCAGGAATAAAAGAATGACTAGAGTAAGATTGGGGCCGGTCAAGGAC